CGTGCAGTCAGTAATTGTAGTGTGGTTGTACGCGATATATTATAACATGTCTTCGCTTTCTGGAAACTGACAGTAAATCAACATGGTACGTTAGACTCAAAGTAACTAAAACCACTATTAAGGGTTTAGGACTGTATTATCCCTAACACAGGCTAGTGTGTAGCCTAGCTGGGAAAACAGCACTCAACCACGATATTATTGTAGACTTCTAATTGTAACACAAATTCATCATAATAAACGTAAAATTGTGTAAACCTACAATCTTATTTATACAATAAAAAGTTATTTAAAGTTATACTTATATTACAAATTATAAGTGATTTCCAAAAAGAAGAACGTTCTCAATTCGGCCTATATTTTTTATCTGTATTTCTTCATTAACTAGATTAAAAACATGGATAAATATATTACAATTTTGTATTTGTATTGTATACTATGTGTTCTGTTATATCTAGGGTCTCAGATATAAGCTAAAAAAGATAGTAATACACTGCCATAGCGTTTTTCACAGGACTTTTGTCGTAATTATTCGTAGTCCATCTCCATACTTACCGTTTCTCTTGCACAAGATACAGAAAGAAAAAATATTCTATTTCCTTGTAAATCCCCTAAAGCCAATAGTCTATCAATTGCAACCAAACTGCGAGGGCCATTCCACCTGACGTCTGTATGGGGTTTTAATATCGGAATATTTATATAGATGGCGCTACTGTGGTTATTAATGGTGAGCTTTAAGTGACAGCTTGGTTATTTGGAGGTTAGCCTTAATGGAGATAATTTGTTTGGCTTTGGTTGAGTATATATACAATGATTTTGAGTTTGATTAATTTTTTGTCCTAAGTGAGAATCTAACTCCACACACCCAACATTGTAGTTACGAGGCGATTACCTTAACTATTGGGCCAGCCATGCAAATGATAAAAACATACAACTCATGTGATCCTAAATAATTACCTGCTCATACAACACCAGCGTTATCTCTTGACCTTACTTTTTATTATCATCGAAATTTGGTAACCCTATTCATTACCAAAAAAAAAGTAAACTTTGAAAAGCAATGAAAAGATGCTAATACCAGTTTCTTGTGAGGACGTGATATCACCCGGTTGAACCTGTCCTTATGTGCCGAAGTATGGCTCACCGTCTATGCAAATTTTTATCATAATCATGATTTTTTGATTTTATGATTCAGTAGTTTAATAATACCACCATTACTCAGTTATAACAATGAATCGCAATATTTTCCTAACAATATTCGAGACAAGACTGCATCGAGATGTCGTTTTTTCATTACTATACAAATATCTCATACCAGAAGCTAAATATTTGACTTACAAAAATGGCACACAACAATTCATCGTTTTCATTTTAACCCTCGCGTCGTTGGCGTATACTGTAAGTTAGGGTTGTCACCTGTATCAATAGTGCACCGTTACTTTTAGACACTCAAGAAAATATTTGACTACCCTCATGGCAGTAGTGTATATTAATGGTGGAATTATACAAATGGTTTATTTTTAGAACACGTTTGCCGATTTATATAGTCTTACTACATATCATGCGAGTAACATTACTCTTAGCTTAACAAACGCTTATTGATTAGGATCTCAGAAATTATAATACTTTTCCTGGCGCGTATAACTCAAAACTTACAAAAAGAAAAATGAAATTCATTGATATTAATATTTGTGATTTTGACAACCCTAATCTATAACCCTTATCGTAGCAGGGTATGTTCGTCCCGTCGGCATCCCAAGAATGTGCATCTCCCCTCCGATTAGTCGAAATATTGTTCGTCACAATGCGTCTCGCGAACGCAGCTGCAAATTGTAACTAATGTCAGGAATTTAATTAAAAAACCCTCCTAACTTATGGTTTGATAATAAATTGAGGGTAGTATGTTTTTTAAGCTCAATAAACTTATTTTTTTAGCAAATACTGCTTAAATATTAGCCATTCATCAACTTTTGAATTCCTTTTCCGGTGTAGTGGGTCTCTTCGTAATTTTCGTTGATTTGTTAAAACATACTTTTGATAAAAATATTTCTACGTTATAGTTGTTAATCTAATATGTTTCACAACTTTCATGCTTAAATTGCATGTTGTTAGCGTTCTAAACTACATTTCGATGTGTAAGAATATTACTGAATATGCTTCAATCTGAGTCGTGTCAAGACGGCCCACTCTCACAGAACGAATCTGAAGACTAAAAACAAACATAAAATACTATACAAAAATTTAAGACGATGTCCAAATGCCCATATGGGGCATTTGGACATCGTCTTTATACAAACTTCATACAAACTTGTCCTATTCCTTATATGATTAGCTTGCCTAGAAGTAAAAACCTAAAAGTAACAACTACTGGAATATATTAATTAAATATTTATAAGACTAGGTCCATTTCTTTTTAAAGAGGAGTCATCTTATGGTAAGTGATTAGAGACGCCCGTGGACATCTGCAACTCTAGAACCACAAGTGCCCTGTAAGGGAGGTGGAGGGGTGGGAGTTGAACCTCCAGTAAACTCACACACCCAGTGAAATGCAACGAATCGCTCAACACTTGTTGTATGAGGCCGTGAAATCAGTGTGGATACAGAACCTTTTTACTCTTCTTTTCTTTACTCTTAAACATATGGAAGAAAAACTTGTGGTGTTACAAGTACCAGTCATCCATCAGTATATAATAATCACAAAACAACCATATTTCCTATCTTTATCTTCGTTTCACCGCCATCTATCCGGAAGTGTGACAGTTTCACAGATGATCTACCCCTCTTGTCATGTTTGGGGCGCGTGCGTCATTTCCGACACCGGAACTGACAGCCTCTCCCGGATGAGGCTGATAAGAGACGCGTGCGTTAAGTGTTAATTAGTATAACATTAAATAACGGCTTTGTTAATGAGCTCCTTCAAATATACAGTTAACTAGCTAATGCCCTGTATTTCGTAGACTTTTTTTTATGGCATAGGCTGGCAAAACGAGCAGACAGGACACCTGATGGTAAGTGACTACCCCCTGTACCTATAGACACCTGCTACTCAAGAGACATAAGTGCATTGCTGCTCTTTCAATCCGTGAAGGAACAGGTGTCATGTCCCTCCGACCAGGCGAGGTGATCATGCCTGGCGAGCCGCAGCCCAACGACTGATGTTGGAAAGTTGTAATATTATGCTAATCGACGAAGGAATTCTTCATATCGCGATACAGGATTAGCAGTTACTCCGTAGTTCCGTGTGTTTTCGTTAGATGACGCTGTAGTGTTTTTTTATTTATTTATGTGGAAGTTGCCACAAATCCTGCTCCCAGAAACAGGAGGAGGAAGGGTTTTGGGCTCCGGTAACGTCACTCACTCGGTGAAAAACTAGGAAAGATCTGGTTACCACCGGTTTTCTGTGAGGTCGTATCATTTCGGTGGAGCCTGGACTTTTGTGAAGAAGCATGACTCTCCCACGAATAGTCTGCATAACACACATATGCAACTAAACTGACACAAGTGACTGCTTGGATTGCGCAGTTGTTTAAGTCGCTCCACTCACACTCAGAGTAGTAGTAAGCTACTCTGAGTGTTGTGGGTCCGATCCCACATGGGACGACACTTTGAGTGATCCACAAATTGTTGTTCTGAGTCTGGGTGTTGTTTGTGTCCGTTTCTTGTAAGTTCGTAAAGTCCCCCGTGACATAGGATATATTCCTAATGCGGAAATTGTCTTTAAAAAAAATGCGTTGCCATTTTCTGTGTGCCACCTCCAGAATCAGGGAAGGAGACGGGAGTGAGAAGCTTGTGACTTTATCTTTTTATTATAATCAAACTATTTACTCTGGTGTCTTGATCACAGAGTATACGATTACTATCCATATTGGATAGTTTGATTAGATTTGCCACTCTAGTAGTGTATCTATAATTCATATGTTAGTTTTTGATTTACTACTCCAAAAGCGTGATAAATAATCTTTTCACTCTCTCACAACATGAACAGTGACGTCATTGTTTAATAATTAATTACGTTTTAAAGTAAAAACCCTTGTTGGGAGTGACCCGCGTTTTATGAGGTTAATTGATGACTGTGGATAATTATTCCACGCACTCAGATTGCTGAAAAGGAACCATTTCAACCGTCGTGTTGGGAGAATCATTTAAACCATTACTAGTTTTCGCCGGTGGTTTGGCTCGTACCCTCGGAAATATTTTTCTTTACATTTTTTCTTAACCTCTGGCAACGTGTTTGCAAAATTTCAAGCCGATTATTTTAAAAAAAAATTCTTTCGTAGCTCTCCTACGCCGTAGCAAAGACCTACGACCTCTAAGTCCGCGACCGATAATTTCAATGTTCAAATTTTTTCAGCTTTCAACTTAACTTAAACCTTTAGATTTATAATTAACTTTAAAAAGTCATCACCGACTTTAAAATTCAAAAATCATGATGTTATATTTTTGACGATCAAATGGCGTAGTGGTTTGTGTAACGGACTGCTATTCCAAAGGTCGCGGGTACGATTCCCGCTCAAGTCCAACATTTGTGTGCGTGAACATTTGATGTTTGATTTGGTCTGGGTGTTTCTATGTATAATATGTATGTATTTACAAAAAAAAAAGTATATATGTATTTATATCAGTTGTCTAGTAGCCATAGTACAAGCTCTGCTTAGTTTGGGACTAGCTGGCGTTGTGTGAATGTGGTACAATATTATCATTATTATTATATTATTATAATTTTTGATAAATGTCAAGCCAAGTGGACACCTGCCACTCAAGGATGACAAGTATTATTTTCGTGTTTCTAACTATGAAAATGCCAGTCTTCCATACAACAATTCTTCCCATATTTTACTCCCTTAGGAGCGAAATTTCAAAAAATCTTTTCTCAGTGGCTTACGACATAAAAAGCTGCCAAAGTTTCAAGTTCGTGGCCCCAGTGGTTTAGTAATCAATCAGTGTCAGGGCAACTAATATCGTATGTGTAGATAGCAGTACTGTTATAACATAAATGTACTCACAGTCATAGTAGAGGTTGCCGACGGTGGAGGTTAGCTTGGGAGTGCCTTGTCCTGACAGTGACGCCATTCTTTCTCCCTGCAAACATACGCAGCCTTAGAAAACTACGAAAAAAACCTAAACCTTTTTTTTAATGCTAAGTAACGAACTAAAAGCTTAGTATTTTTAATAAAATATTAAAAAAGCAGGTCTTTGCATGGTAGGGTTTGAAAAAATAGGGGCTTTAATAGGGGAATTTTTTTTTTTTTGGACTGGCCTGTTGCAATAGTGTTCTACTGCTGAGCCAGAGATCTTGGGTTTGACTCCCACCCAGGACAAATAATTGTAATGACTATGATGATTTGTCTTAGTGTAATTTATCCATAGTGGGTATGTATTTAAAAACATATAAGTATGTTTATCAGCAGTCTGGATACCATAGTACAGGCAATGCTTAGTTTAGGAGAGAGATATAGTAGGCCAAACCTCCTTTCTAAGGAGAGGCCAATGTCCAGCAGTGGACTGTTGATAAAATAATAATAATAATAATTTTACACATCTCACACACGGCAGTCTGATCCCAAACTAGGCAGAGCCTTTACTATGGTAATCAGACTGCTGATAAACATACTTATATATTTCTAAATATATACATAATATAGATAAATTACACAGAAAATATTTTTTACTTGTGCATATAACAATAGTCTATTTCAATGTATACGTATCTATGTCATTCTTCAAGCTCTTTCCCAAACCAGGTTGTAGTCGGCTTTCGGTTTGCTACGTCACGATTCATCTCTATTTTTACGACCACTATCAGACCTCCCCAACCCAAGTACTAGGCAATATCGAAGTTCTGTAGATAGGCTCAACGATTGCCACAGATGTTAGCACAGAACAAAGAATAAAGTCTTTTGTCTATGGATGTTAACATAGTATGGCACCCGGGACCGACGGCTTAACGAACTCTCTGATTCTCGGAGGGGTCTGAATGTGTTAAAAATAGTCACCAATCCATAAACTAACCTGATTAGGATTGCTTAACTTAACGTCGGTTACCACTTAGCTACTAAACATTCTGTATATTTCTATTTCTAAATATCTCTCTATATATCATATTGTATCTTTCGTTAAATGTAAAATATGAAATTGATTGGAGTTTTTAATAGCATCGTATGAAGTTACAAAGTTAAACATATCTTAAAATATTCCTACTTTTTTATCTTTCATTTTTCTTTGTCTTTGTTCTCCCGTAGAAAAATAATTAATTGTTCGTAATTTTTCTGAAATATTATATGATTTTTATAAAGCACGTGACTTTATTGCAAGGATTTTCATATTTCCAGTTTTTTCTAAAGGATCAGCTGGATTGTTGAAGATTATTGTGGACCTAACAATAACCCGAAATTGAAAAATAACAAAGAACCATCCAAGATCCTAAAGGTTTTTTTAGAAAATAAGGGTCAAATGCCTTATTTAAAAAAGACCTTAAAATCGTCACAAATAATATAACTTACAATAATAATGAACTTCTGAAATCCTAATCTGTAATAATGTTTCATATAAGAAGTAAACTAGAGCCGTATATTAATAATTTATTTAAAAATAATGAAATTCTGATTTAAAAAAAAACAGCTTGCATCATGCACTAGAAACTACGCTATAGTCAAGCAATATAAAAATACTTCAACGGTACAGAACAAAGAGAATGAATCCAATATGGCGGATCAAACAAGATGGCGGCTAAAATGATTAATTTGAACGAACCAACTGTATATGTTCAGCTATTTGCTTGCAGTAGGAAAAAAAGCCGTCCAAACTCAGCTTTGACATTACTAGAAACTTCTAGAAAGTTCTGTGAACAGAAAGAAAGAGAACGTTAATGATACTGACAGGGCGCCATCTTTAAACAACATATTTCTCTGTCCATAGATATTATCTTCAAAATCACTTTAAGATCTATTTTAAAAGTGATTTATAATAAAACACGTTAATTAAATTTATATTATGAATAAAATGTTAAATTTATAAACATATTATGATAAATGCAAGATGAGATTAAAAATAAATACAAATCTAAATCTACTCTATGAACAAATGTATTTTTATTTTAAGTTTGGAATACGAACCTTTGGCCGCAGCTGTGTGGCACTATTTATAACAAATATTTTTCGTTGAAAAACAAATTAAAATATGTCGTTGAGAAAAAATATAGCCAAAATCTGGGCTAAGATTTATCATAAATGAAGACTTTGGTGTAGTATTCTTATAGTATTGAAATAATTTCAACGAACGGTGTTGTTCAGCCAAGAGCTTAGGCAGACTGAAACGAGGTTTTCAGGGGCTAAGGTTTCAGGGGTTGACGCATGCGTGGTGAAAAGGTCGTGGGGGGCTGACATCTAGGCTGCGATGGGATGAGGATGCTGGTCAATAATGGGAACCAGGTCATTCGTGGGCGTCGCCTCCAACGTGTTTTTAGGAGATACGTAATTATTCGGTTGGAAGGTTTTCATTGTGATTGATTTTGTAATTAGTGATGACAAAATAATATAGGATTGTGTTTAGTTTTGTGAAAATTGGCCTCGTTCAACAAAATGTACAAATTTAACTAATAATTACCTAAATATATGTTTACCATACTCTTTTTTTTAATTGAGAAAACATGAGATTTAATTTTAACTTTCAAGTTATATCGATTGACATATACTTACATGTATTTTTTGTAAAATATTTTTAATACATAAAAAAAAACAAAAATGTAATTTTTTCTTACTATTTAGACTTAAGTTATCCCTAAAAAACCTAAAATTGAAATAAATTTATTAAGAACTAATTGTTCTGATAAAATTAAACAATTAATTGAAGCTAAGGAGTATACATTTTATGTCGCATTTTATTTTAGAACTTATCGAACAAAGACTAACTGTAATATTTAACTCATAAGATAAACAAACACTGATTTTTTTACCCCTTTATTGTCTAATATAAAATTCATGCATATATAATAGATAAAAATCATAAGTTTATCTATTATATACCACAGACAAAAAAATAAAATAAAATAAAAATATTATAAACCTCCTTTCTAAGGAGAGGCCTATGTCCAGCAGTGGACTAATAGAGGCTGTTGATGTGATACCACACAAACCATCAAGAGTTTATCCGTGTTATACCAGACACATATCGGTTACAATTATATTCAATATATAGTTGAATATCAGCTCGAGAGTAGCTAATCGTTAATCACTACAGTTTACAAATAATTTTATTCATCATTCTACAGGTTTCGATAGGTATGTTGTTCATGGTACGGGGCATAATGTGTTGTTACGGCCGCGTCCCATACACATTAGTATAAGGTTTTCTATAAGTAGGTAAGTATGACAAGTTGCGTAATAACTCCAATCTTATATTTTTCTTCAATTTAGCAATGTTGTGGTATTCCTCACCCAGTACTCATACGCTCACTTTATCGAAAACATTTAATATTAGTAGCTCATTTATTTAACAAAAATAAATCGTTTAAGTTTATTGATTTTAGTTTATAGTCTTTTGGGAATTTGTTAATATTCTTATACTGATAATCCTATCTAAATTATAAAGTACCAGCTGTACCCTTTTTTTTTCCTGTTCGGAAATCCCTTCGGATATAACCCACCGGTGGTTATGTCGGACTCGAACCGACCAAAAACCGCACGCCGTCTCGGGTACCATTTGCCGGGGAACCAGGTGTACCCTAGGAAGGAAAACCCTGATACCCCGACGTACCTCGGGCCATCTCATCTCATATGTCCCCTTTGTGTTCCCGAAAGGGCCCGCGCGCTTCGAAGCGCGTCTTGACACCACCCCCCGTTTACCACCCCCAGGCCTGCGCTTATGGAGGGCAGAGGTCATTCTGCAACCTCCGGCGCCTGAGTCGTCTGCAGTACCTGGCCCGTTGGCGTCTGGCGCTCCGGAAGAGTTCTAAACCTCTCCCGGTCTCGCTCCCCCACCTCCTTTGCAAGCATAAGTTGCTCGCAGAAGAAGACGGCGGAGTTCCACGAACTCTCGCAACGTACCATGGCGGCAATCATGTTACCGAGCGAGAGAATTTCTGCGATAACGGCGTGCCCAGTACCAGATGTACCCTGACTATAAAAATACTTTTTTATGACAGTTGTGAGATCGAGAATTGAGAGGAACTGACTTGTGACCGAAGTTTTATTACGAGAATCTGGATGCATTGCTAAAAAATGAGAAACAAAACTGACTCGAAAAATAGATGAAAATCATCTGTGACGTGGTTTGTACTCGTGTCAAAATTTTAGCTCAATCAGTGCAGAACTTTTTGAGTTTTTGAAGCAACAAACCAACTGAAAAGTTAGTTTATATACAAGACTAGCTTTTACTAACTTTTAAACTTTCGCGTTCCATGATAATTAATATTATTTAACGAGAATTAACGCGATCTCTTATTTATATATGAGTCAGCCTGTGACCACGGCCGGTGCAACCTGGTCGAAACGTCAGGCAAACCAGAGGTATGTAATACCCTAAATAAGAGATCGCGTTAATTCCCGTTACAATAATATTAATTAAGACTAGCTTTTTCCAGCCGCTCCGCTCACGGGTATGTCGGTTATCGCAGTATCAGTAAATCACACAAAGTGTTGTTCCATGTGGGGACCGAACCCACAACACTCAGCGCAGTAGAAAGCGGCGAGTGACCGCCTAAGCCTCTACGCCATGCCTGCAGTCACATTATTTTATCCATAAGCAACCCTATTGGAATATTTCAAAATAGGAGTAAACAAAAACTAAATATCTACAATTTTCATAATGTACCTCCAGTTGTAACTCGTGTTGTGTCTTATAGAACAAAGGTTGAACTTCAACCTTTTTTGTCGTCCCACACAGCTACATAACCACACACCCACTGGTTACCTCAAAGCGTGGGGATATACCACCCACCATTTCGACACCTACGCTCTCGTCCGTACATATGTGTGTACAATAAATAAATAATAATGTGTAAATATTGAATTAACACATGACATGAAACACGAACAGACAGAATTATCTATAGTAGGAAATTTTTCGTTTAATAAAACTTGTATTCTGTAAAAATAAATTAATTATCATGGTAGGAAATTATTGTTAGTAGCCAGAGACGGGTCACCGGACGGTTAGTTATGTACGTACTTATGTACATTACCAATCTTAGAAAGACAGAGTGTGGTTAAAAGAAAATATGTTACCGAGGGATAAGGAAAAAACTTTTAGGAAAGCGAAGCCACGAGCAAAAGTGGGTATAATATAAGTACTTAGTAATATACATGTGAAATGACACGGTTTGTAAACTGGTCATGGCCAGGCCGGGTACAAATACTCAAGGATACTTGGAAATGTCTTCTCGGCACACGACCCGGCCTTGCCCCAGTGATAAATGTTAGGAGCCGTCTCTACGAGAGAGAAATATTTTTTTTAGAATGAAGATATATAATATTTTTTTTAAATAATTAAAAAATAAGTCTAGCAGCAGTCTGGTTACTACAGGCTCTGCCTAGTTTGGGATCAGACAGCCGTGTGTGAGATGTGTGAAAAATATTATTATTATTATTAATGAGCGAAACGTAGTCGTATCGCCGCACGCCTTGCAGGCAGCGCGCTCGTCGCGGAATCCGCTAACAAACGCAGGGATGCCAACCACGTCATCTCTATGTTGCCTGAAGGCTAACTAGCACTACGCCCTCTGATGCCAGACAAGGGTACTACGTATTAACAAGTTTTATTTAACAATGAAAACTTTTAACTTGGAATGAGAAATAGATATGTACTTTACGTTGTGCAGTTGCCAGAGTATTTGTAGTTTATTATGGAGGCATGTATCATATTACCACACATTTCCTCTCCACTTCTCCTCTGCAGGCCCCTCTTTCCAACTGGGCACTCTGGGCACGTGCCCAGAGCCCCTCGATAGATAGAGGCCCCCTAATTCCTACCTTCCTAATTCGATAATCGATATTTATTACCGAAAACCATATTTATTTAAAAAAAACAGCGAAAATGGCTGATTATAATACCTTTTTTTGCTATTCTAACAGAATAGTAATCAGTCAAGGTCGTAGGGGCCCCATTATTCCAATGTGCCCAGGCCCACCGATAGGCTAAAGACGGCCCTGCTCCTCTGGCACCTAACTGAACCCCGTCAACAAAACTATTGCATCACACCTCGTTACTGCAACGTGGCAATTCCGTTGTGAAACGTCGCGAACGATTGAGTGACGCTGGCGGAATAATCGCCCGTTAGTGAGATTACACATCGATAAAAGTGAGGATTCGTCGCGATTCTCTCGCACGTGGAGACGGTCCCTTAAGCTCTCAGGTAATACTCTTGGAATAAGTAGTAGTTGACACAAATGGGCCGGCTCAACCAAAGTGAACTTACGGCCCCACAGAAAAGCGGAGTTAGCAATTCTTTCATTTACTTCACTAAGGTTATTGGAACCCGAAACCTGAACCCGAAAGGTTCTTGGACGAGAGCCACAAAGAGTGGGAACACACTTGTGACTCTCGAGTTGAAGTGCAGTTAAGTCTACTCATTTGCCTCCTATACCATTTTTTTTTTTCCATAAACATTTTTTCCATATTTTTTTGATTACTACTCGTAGCTTCTGCCCGCGGTGAATGTGGGTTATCGCATTAAAAAGTAGCCTATGTCCGTAATCAAGAATCAAACTATCTCACTACTAAATTTCATTTGAATTGGCTCAGTGGTTATTGATTCCCCATACAAACTTCCAACCCCCATTTTACCCCCTTAAAGGATGATTTCTGGGATATAAACTATCCTAGGGCCTTTCCCGGGACTCAAACTAAAACTATACCAAATTTTATCTAAATCCGGTCAGCGGTTTAAGCGTGAAGAGGCAATAGACAGACAGACATATAGATAGACAGACGGACACACTTTCACATTTATAATATTAGTATGGATATGGATTGATTTAAAAATGACTCACGGATGGCATAGTGGTTTAAGCGGCCACCTCGCCGTTTCCTACAACGCTGAGTGTTGCGGGTTCTTTCCCCATATGGGACAACGCCTTGTGTGACCCAAAAAATTTTTGTTCTAAGTCTGGGTGTTCTTTGTTTCCGTTTAATGAATGTTTGTAAAGTACCCGCGATACAGGATATGTTCCTAGTGTGAGAGTTGTCTTAAATAAAAAAAGAAAACAAAACTCAGTTTAATCTAATTAGATTTTATGCAACATATAACTCACATAATATAACTCTCTGTGAATACCGTTCCCGAGGTTGTCTGCAACACAGAACAATTTGTCGATACGGATCCCCTTCAAGGGGTGGTTGTCACCCCCACCCCAACATGCGGAGGTGGATGACGTCAGAGAAGACACGCCCAGTGGGTGGGGATGGATGGAAGGAGTTAACATATAGCCCTACCGATTATTATGGTTGTTTTTTATTCTCCTTGCCATGGTAAGTGGCAACTGTAACTGTAATTAACGCAAGACAACAGAAGTCAACTTTTTATTACCACGTCGTTGTTACTATTTTATTTTTATTAATTACGTTACCAACTCTAGGAGATAATTTTGAAGTGAAAACTTTTCAACAATAAACAAAAGAATGTACTCGTATTTTTGAGATGGGAAAAACCATTGAACTCGCGACACTGTGACCGTTACCGACACCTCTGTATATAAGCATCTACATATATATTACTTTTACACGAGAGTTGAGTTTGGGTTGAAATACATTGATAATATAACTATATGTAATATAAACATATATTGTGTATATACGTAAAACATGTCGGAACTTTAAGAATCGAAAAAACAAAACAAACCTGTTATAATAAAAAGACACTCCAAGAGTGCCAGTGTTATTTTTTTTTAAATCTATTATTGTCGTATTGAAATGAAAATTCACATGTTTATGTATTTGGATGATAATACTGATCAATCGTGCAGTCCCTCCGGTCTGGCCTGGCCGAAGCATAGTTCTTCCACGTTTTTATATAAATTCATCCATACATATAAAAAAACAATTGCACTCTTAGAGTCGGAGGTGTCGGTTACGGTAACAGTGTCGCGAGTTCAATTCTTTTTTCCCATCTTAATAAATGCCCAACGCGCCTAAAGAAGTTTTCACTTCAATATATACAGTGGTTTCGGTAACGGTAACAGTGTCGCGAGATCAATGGACAACCATTGAACCCATTCCCATCTCAAATTAAAATGGTCAGGTACGAGTCGAACTCGTGCGCCGAGGGTTCCGTACCTGATTTTACGTAGATTTTCTCGAAAATTTGTAAGTACCAAAATTTATCTTAATTTTTAACATTTTTTTTGGAATTATTCCTTTATTTGTGCTGTAAAACGTTTCTTTTTGCCAAATTTCGTAATTCTAGCTCAACGGGAACTACCATATAGGTTTTCGACCCAAAACCTATAGGGTACTTCCGGTTGACCTAGAATGGTCAATTTTGGTTAAAAGCAAGGTATTACAGCACAAGTTAAGAGAAAATTCTGAAAAATAAAAAAAGTTGAAAACTAAGGTTGTATTAATTTAAATTAGTCGAGTCACCATTGTGTCAATGCCCAACACCTAACTCTCACTATGAACAGTCTGCTCATCATATCCTCTGGGAATGTAGTCTTTGGTATAATGAACGTAATATAATGCTGAATAGCTTGCAGGTGACATCTGGGGCGCTATACTATGGGGATCTTGTGTCAACTAGGGTGAATTTCCGTGCGTTTAGGCGATTCTGCCATACATTTTATAGAAATCAAATATAGCTCACGTAGGACTCGTAATATTTTGTGGCCGTGGTGCTTCCCTGTTTAAAAGGGTATATGCCTATTTTACTTCATTTTGTCTCCCGCTTTGCTAAGGAGTCAAGTGGATTTACTGCATTTCCAACTCCTCCAATTTTCTTCTGATTAATTTCGTTGCGGGTTCCAAGACAGTTTAATTTCTTCCTGGGACTTCCCGAGTGTCATAACTCGGTGTGTTCGTGGGTCACTGCTGTGGATCCTGGGGTACAGGAGTTACAGTGGTGGGCGTGTGGGTGGGATTAGTCACTTTAAACCAAGGTAAATTTTGGTACTTAAGTACAAGTTTTCGCGAAAATCGAAATTTACCCACATATTTTTATCGTGTTGACTCAGGACCTTGATTTTTATACACCTAATAGGGACCATAGACTTCAGTATCTGGTATAAATTTCAAATTGCTAGGTCTACCCGTTCCTGAGAAAATTGGTGGTGACACACGGACAGACGGACAGACGAACAAGAAAGTGATCTTACGAGTATAAGGGTTCCTTTTTTACCTTTTGAGGTACGGAACCCTAAAAATATATTCTTTTGTTTATTGTTCAAAAATGCCCAATGCGCCTAAAGACGTTGAAAAGTTCTTTAAAATTTTTTGGTTAATTTGTGTACGCTTCAAAAGCTCGAAATGTTCTGTGCCGTTTGAGCCATCCATATCCTTCTTTCACGTCAGCTTTGTTCCTAATTTCTCATCAATGTAATCACAGGATGCCGTGTGGTGACGGATTAAGAATACGGAGTGTCACCACCCCAATTCATCCCGTGGGTGTCGTAAGAGGCGACTAAGGGAGCAAACTACGCAGAACAACCGCACTGCAAAGGGAAGGAAAACTTGAAACAAAACCTATACAAACCCGTCTGCCCAGCGTTTTATAGTTGGCCAAAAGTTCCTTTCTAAGGAGAGGCCTATGTCCAGCAGTGGACCAACAGTGACCAGGACCAAGTGTGGCAGGATACAGCTAGTATATTTTTGTTTTGTGTTATTTTTTTCCAACATAATAGACTACTAAAAGTTGTCGCCTGATAATAGTTATCAGCTAAAGTCCTGTCAGCTAAAAAGCTTTGTGTTTCTGATAACACATTATCTATATAGTAAGTGGTAACAGAGTACGTTAAAAATACAGAGAATGCAATATAGTATTCTCCTCCTGGCTTTATTTCCAGACTTTCATAACCAAGTCCAATATGTAAGACTCGTGAAATGAAATCATTAGTAACCAGTAACCATTAAAGAGTTTCACATGTCGTCTCCTGTTCTCATCGTCAGATTAGAAACATGTGAACTAAATGCCTACACCCATAGGCATTTAGTTTCGTGTCCGTGTGGTGACGGATTAAGAATACAAATTGTCACCACCCCAATTCATACCGTGGGTGTCGTAAGAGCCGACTAAGGGAGGAAACTAAGCAGGACAACAGCACTGCAAAGAGAAGGAAAACTTGAAACAAACCCTATACCAACCCGTCTGGCCAGCGTGGTATAGTAGGCCAAAACCTCCTTTCTAAGGAGAGGCCTATGTCCAGCAGTGGACTAGTAAAGGCTGTTGATGATGATGATGATGATGATGATGACACACGGCCTTCTGATCCCAAAACTGGCAGAATACTATCGTAACAAGACTGCTGATAAACATACTTATATATTTCTAAATATATACATATCTTGATTCATAACACAAAAATAGGTTAGTTACATGATTTATAACTCGAAAACAGCTCGACCGAAATGCAGAATAGCTATTAAGATATTAAAATAATTACGAAAAAAATATTGAAGAAACCTTATTTTCTCATTGTATATGAAACCTAATGAAGAACGCAGCTGTGACTAAAAACGCGTTTTAAACTGCGGGAAACTACTATTTATACTTAAATTACATCCAGACACAGTACAAATGATCGTGCTTATCACACAAATATTTATCATGGGTGGGAATCGAACTCACGACCTTTGACTTAGCAGTAAGGTTCACTAACCACTAGGCCCGTCAAGGAAATTCAATTTAATCGTTTAAGGACCCACAATCCGTGTGGTGACGGATTAAGAATACGGAGTGTCAGCACTCCTATTCATCCCGTGGGTGTCGTCAGAGCCGACTAAGGGAGCAAGCTACGCAGGACAACAGCACTGCAAAGAGAAGGAAAACTTGAAACAAACCCTATACCAACAGTTTTGCAACTGAGGTCTAGTGGGCCTAAACGTTTCTAAGTAAAGGCCTATGTCCAGCAGTGGACTAGTAAAGTCCTGTTGATGATGATGATGTTTATGGGGATTATTTTTCGCTTAATTTAAGAGCCACTCCTATCTATTTCCTGCGATCTGTTCGACCTTCTGATAGGCCACGACTCCCACTTTCTCATTCACTTGCTGTACCTATGTATGTTGATCTAGGCCATCCTCGTTTTCTTAGTATTATTCTGAAGAAGTTATCGTGTCTAATCAGGTGACCAACCATTTTGCCTCTTCTGTTTTCAATGGCATTCAACAATTGCCTCTCTTCGCCCACCATAAGCAGGACCTCCCTATTGATTCTTTTGTCCATCCAACTGATGTTCATCATTCACCTTCAGCACCACATTTCAAATTCTGCTAACCTGTCTCTGTCTTTTAGTCAGCGTCTACGTTTCGCAGCCATAAAGTGCAATACTCCATATATATGACTTGATGAGCTGTTTTCTTATTTCGGTGTCGATCTTGGCCTTAAACAGGTGTCGATATTGGCCTTAAACAGGTGTAGAAGGTTTGCCAGGATGGCGAGTGCTGGTGTCAGGCAGCAGTGGTACCAGTACTAGCAAGAGGAAGGAGGAGGAAGCTGATTCCATGAAGGCTCTTGACCAGATAAGAGTAGGCAGGCAACCCTGGCTACTGCACTGCGGTGTGAAAGGCAAGTGGGAGAAACTACCACCCTATAATACTGCAATGAAAATGTCACAACAAAGAGGAAACTTTCTTGGCAACATGCTTTCACGACGAAAAATTCCGTGGGGGTCTGAGTCCCGCAGGACCAGGAGCAAGTCTGACACTGTCGTCATCATGCGAAAACCTTGTAAAATAGGAATTTGGAATGTTAGGACCTTATGGACACCCAACAAGGTTGAAAAAGTAAAGATGGAAATGAAAAAATTGAATATAGACAATAGGGATTTTATTATACTAAAATGTTTGCATCTCTCAAAAAAATCCCCGTTTTTGCAACCTTTTTCATTAATGCTCGGCTCCAACTGGTGGTAGCGTGATGATTTATAGCATATAGGCTTCCTTGATTAATCGGCTATCCAACACTCAAAGAAAAGTTTCAATTCGAACCAGTTCCTAAGATAAGCTCGTTCAACGAAACAAACAAACTCTTCAGCTTTCTGATACAAACTCTGTTACGCGCATCTCACCTACGTTATATCATATTCAAGCTAAAACCAGTAGCTATATTTATTTCTGCGTATCATCTGGTAGCACTCACACGAGGTAAGTACTGTGAATCATTAAAACTTTTTTAATACTTCATATATACATACACTAGCCGTGCCCCGATGTTTTACTCGAATTTATCTTCTACTACTACGCAACTAACCGTGATGTTTAATGATCTTTTTTTTTGGTGACGGGGTGGCAAATCCCTTTGGATCTCTAACTCTAACGTAAGAGCCAGAAATATGTGGTGTTTCCACTAAAAACCACTCTAGGGAGGACCCGGACCATGTGATTTCAGGGGACCTGATCCCCGGAGCGACGCTGCACCCAACTAGACCCTATCCCGGGGATGTTAAATGCAAAGCGTATTTTTCAAATTTGTGTAACTGTTTCAGAGATTTGCGTTTTCAATCCATAAAAAAAAAGAAACTCTTAATATCTTCATTAACATTGTATATTATAAAGCTATATCCCCTAGTGGGTACGCAAAGATGTAATAAAAATAATATGGAGTAAACCCTCCACCGTTGACTTTAGCTATTAGTTGAGAAAATTAGGACAGAAAATTAAAAGGAAGTAAAATTGAATTTATTTTAGTTAGTTCCATGAAGCCACATGGAACTTTTGATCCCTCTGGTTCCATACATGGAACTAGTGGGAATAGCTATTGGAAGCGAAAAATTATACCCAGTAGTTACATGAAGTCAGTTGGCTAGCTTGTTGTTTTATAAGATATGAAACCCTTGCTTGTGCTACAAAAAATAATTTTCAGAAGAATAATTTAATCTAAAATTGATGAGATAAGAAGGGAGATAAGATGTCCAGCAGTGGACTATTAAAAGCTGTTGATGATGATGATGATGAAGAGACTCAAGAAAAGGCGATGTGTTAAAGATTTTTTTTTGTATTTCGTGCATTGTTTTGTTGTTATTAGGGTTGCCTTCGTAATCTAATTTGGTTGTAAAATCAAACAAAGTTAAATTATTTAATGATAGCAAGTTACGACGTCATAGGATGTTATTATATTTTTTAGAGATATATTAATACAGTTTTTTTTTGGGGTAAGAGGATATGACTTCAATTGATGTTTGATTACCGCATTGTATTTCAATAATTCATTATTAATAACAGTGTTATTGATTTCAATGCGACTAAATCCTAATGAATTATAATTAGATGTAGCCTTCTTTTTTCATCCTTACTTTAAATTTAAATAGGACTGACCTTGACTACAACAGATTCAATTATTGAAATCAATTATTAAATGGCGAAGGTATCGCATAACATAAAAAACAGTCGAATCGAGCCTTTCTTCATCAACAATCTATAACGGTCCACTGCTGGACATAGGCCTCTCCTTCGAAAGGAGGTTTTGGCCTACTATACCTGGCCAGACGGGTTGATATGGGGTTTGATTAAAGTTTGCCTTTTTTTTGCAATGCTGTTGTCCTGCGTAGTTTGCTCCCTTAGTCGGCTCTAACGACACCCAAGAGATGAATAGGGGTGGTGACACTCCGTATTCTTAATCCGTCATCACACGGATACATATTCGGACATTGACTACAACAGATGAAATCATTGAAATCCATTTTTAAATGGCGAAGGTATCGCATAACATAAAAACAGTCGAATTGAGCCTTAAGTGAGTGAAAAAATGATTGAACTCAATTCATGAATGGCGAAGTTATCATGTACTATACGAGTACACACAAAATAACATCAATAAATTTTAAAAGAAATGTCTTCAAAACTGCACGGATGGTGTAGTGGTTAAGTGGTCACCACGCCGCTTGCTACTACGCTGAATGTTGTGGGTCCGATCCCCATATAAGACGACATTTTGTGTGATCAACAAATTGTTGTTCTGAGTCTGGGTGTTCTTTGTGTCCGTTTCTTGTATGTTTGTAAAGTTCCCTGCGGCACAAGATATATTCCTAATGCGGGAGTTTTCTTAGTAAAATAATAATAATAATAATTGATAACAAACGTTGTCAATAATCGTAACTGAGCAAAAACAGAATCACAATTGATTAATAACTAGAGTTTTATTAATCCCTATCTATATGTTGTTGGTGTAACTACGACCATAATTATACATATAAATTTGGTTTAAATCATAATTTATTCTCAAAAAGACAATACATAAGCCACTTGCATGAGAACACAAAATAACATTTTTGTTAAATTATTAAGTACCGGTCACCGAAACAATAACTAAAATACATAGATTAACTGAGCTATGACAATAAAGACTTAATATTGTAGTTAAAACGTAATCTATACAATTAAATTTTATACTATAAAGAAAAAAAAGAAAAATTTAATACAGATACAAATTAATTAGTATGTAATACAATCTAGCCACACGCTCAACAGATGATTGCACAACACAACAAAATCAAACACTTACAAGATCATTGCGCTCAACACTTTTATTCTCACCCAGATTATTCTAACTTTGTATAAGAAAAACTTTCGCGAATGTTTTTAGATGACCGAGATTTAAAAACGCCAAACGTGCTCACACTTTTTATATCTAACGATAAATTATTATAATTATGTGCTCCTTCATAAATGATATTTTTTTTGACATAATTTGTACGAGTTCTTGGTAATACAAGTAAATTTGGTTGACGCCTACTACGTTTAGATACCTCCGAAATGGTGGTAAATGATATGTTAGTTTAAATCTTCTTATCTAAGATCTTCTTATCAGCATACAAGTCTTATACATATAAAGTTTTATAAGTAGGTGTTAAGTATGGATAGCGAAATAATATCTTTATGATCTTGTTTTGTACTCTTTGTAATTTCGTTTTTCCTGAGTTGCCCCAAATTTCTATTCATTCATTTCATTAGCAGCCTTTACTAGTCCACTGCTGGACATAGGCCTCTCCTTACAAAGGAGGTTTTGGCCTACTACACCACGCTGGCCAGACGGGTTGGTATAGGGTTTGTGTCAAGTTTTACTTCTCTCTGCAGTGCTGTTGTCCTGCGTATTCTGCTCCCTTAGTAGGCTCTTACGACACCCACGGGACGAATAGGGGTGGTGACACTCCGTATTCTTAATCCGTTACCACACGGACTTCTATTAGGTAAAGCAAATGCGATTTGACTAGAGAGTTGTATATAGTCAAGCGAATTATTTTAGGTACACAATAACTTATGTTGTAGAGTGAACCAAAGAGTGACGAAAGTTTATCCTTAACGAAATCTATTTGGGTATTCCAGTTGAGGTATCCATTCTTAAGCCAAGATATTTTTCACAGTGTTTTTGTTGTAATGGGATGCTATTAATAGTCAATGGTTCATGATCCGGAATCTTTTTATTTTTAGCCTTAAATATGACGTAATAAGTTTTTGAAATATTAATAGAAAGCAAATTATATTCGAACCATGACAAACATACATACCAAAAACGGTATGTATGTTTGTTATGAAATAAAATAAACCAGTGTCGTCTGCGTACAAAGTTAGATGTCCACGTAGTTTTAATGCTGCAATATGATTTATGTAGATTAAAAATAACAAAGGTACCAAAATGGGCCCCTGGGGAACTCCGCACGTGATAGGTAAAGCATTACTTTCAACGTCATCTATCTTGACTATCTGGTATCTATTAGTTAAATACGATATGAGGATTTTAAGTGCATTTTCTTGGATACCAGCTTGTTTGATCTTATTTATAAGTAATGACTTACAATATCGAAAGCTTTTTTAAATCGATGAATACACCTAAAACAATGTTTTTATTGTATATATTATCTCTGATTTTTGTTGTTAGATCAATTGAAGCTGCAGTAGTGTTACTTTTAGGTCTAAATCCATAATGTCATTCCAATATAAGTGAATGGTATCATAGTAATTTAATAAGTGACTATGGATAAGTTTCTCTAGTATTTTGGACATCACTGGCAGTACAGAGATCGGATGATAATTGCCGGGGTCACTCTTTGGGCCAGATTTATAGATTGTTGTCACTTTTGCAACTTTTAAAGAATCAGGAAACTCCCCGTCAGTCATGAGTTTATTAAGGCATTTTGCTAGCTGATCTGATATTAGGCCTTGTAAGGTTTTTTATGATTTTGGTGCTTATTTTATCTATACCACTACTAGAATTGGAATCTAGGTCTTTAATAATTTTAATAATTTCTTCAGCATTACATGGCTGTAATGTTGTAAGTGAATGACTTGCGATATTGAATTTGAACATTGTGGAACCGTCATGGAATTTTTTAGGTATTTTTTTTGCAAGTACAGACCCTATGGTTGAAAAATACTTGTCAAAGACTTCACAAATTTCCTTTGTATCTGTAACTATATTAGAGTTAATTATAAGCTTTGATGGAGCACTACTTTGATTTGTTTTATTATTTGCTAAATTATTTATAAGAGACCACATTTTTTTAGGATTGTTATTGTACTTTGTAAATATGTTATGGAAATAGGAATATTTCGTAAAATTTATTAGTTTAGCAACCTGGTCTCTTATCACTTTAAACTCACTTCCTAAATCCTCATTTCCTTGATACTTCTTTAGTTGCGACCATATGTGGTTTCTTAAGCTGATGCCAGCAATATTCTCGTTGCTAACCCATTCCTTTGGCGGTGGGTTCATAATTTTGGTTCTAAATAGTTCATTTTCTTTTATGTACTGTTTTAACTTAGTCTCTAACTCTTCATAATTGCCCGAAACATCTTCTAACCCATGTGACTCAACAGTACAGAATAGTTTATTGTAATCTATAGTTTCATATTTTAGATGTAGTTTCTGAGGTTTCCGTTTATTTAGTTGCAAATAGATTTGTTTGTGATCTGAGAAAGACGAGTTGATGATTGCAAAATTATACTGTTCGCTATTCAAGTTTGTGCAAACGTGGTCTAGGATTGATTTCTTCGTAGATGAGTCTCTTGTAAAATAGATTTGGTTTACTATATTTAGTATTTTGTGTCGCGATTCATGTACTCTTTGTTTGTACTTTTTTAATGTTTTGCCTTTCGTTAGTAAGTCAATGTTGAAATCACCAAACACTATATTCTTTTGCGTTCTTGTAACTGTGAATCATATGCATGCATATTGTAAACAACGCCAACATCTATTGCAAATTTCTGTAAATGTACCCATAGGTAATTGTCGCCATCTTGACATGTAGATTAAATGAGGTTATGTTTCAAATCAGTATGTATACTCGTATATGCTGAAATACCGCCTCCTCTTATGTCCGTCCTGTAGTTGTTACTATACAGGTATTTGTAGTTGTAACGCTTGGTTTTTGTTCTGTATCCAGGTTTCTGTAAGTATTATAATATGTACTGTTGTAAGTATTGCCTTAATGATGTATTTCAGTTCGTCAATCTTTCTTTTTTACGAATGCTGCGTGCATTTAAGTAAAGAAATGATAGGCGTGATTTCTAAGTTCTCAATTGTTGAAAATCGACCACTATTTGGTAGGTTACAGATTTCGTACTATTACCTATTATTTTTTAGGCGTTGGAGTTTTTTGTATTCGAATGTATAATGGTAGGTATGCCCTTGAAATATTTAATTGTGAGATAAAACCTAAGATTATAAATGATATTAAAAGTAAATTCGTATATTTTCACTCGAGTTGTCCATCCAAAGGTTCCCTGTTAGGAAGGCTGCCATTTGTACATATTTTTTAATGGAATGTTGAATAGTTGGATAGTTGGCGCTCCACTACTGTGCGCTTTTCGAGACACTTTTTGCCCCGCACAACCAATCTGTGGAACGGGTTATCGTCTCCGGTATTTCCGGACCGATACGACCTTCAAGAAAAGAGCGTACTCCTTCCAAAAAGTCCGGCAACGCGTTTGTGACTCCTGAGTTGCAGACGTTCAGGGGCGGCGATGGTCACTTTCATTCAGGTGAGCCGTCTGCTCCCTCCAACATAAAAAAGAAGAAATGGACCTACTCTTGTAAAGAAAAACAAAGGATTGTTACTGTACATTATAGATTATTCTATTATGTAGTGGTTTTAGATTCTCACTCAATACTAATATTTATTTATTTATTCACACTTTATACACAGGCGGACTGAATGCCCAGGGCATTCTCTTCCAGTGAACCTTTGGGTGGTGTCAAAATCGTGTGAGGTAGGCGCACAGGTTACATTATATGGTCAACGATATTATCGTTATAGGTAGCCAAGACCTCCTTTCTAAGGAGAGGCCTATGTCCAACAATGAACTGTTAAAGGCTGTTGATGATGATGAAGAGCAGAGAGATTACTTAATATGATCCACGAAATTATACACATCACGTAATGTTTATTTAGTTTATTGTATAGTATGTTTATTTAGATCTATACGTGCCCGGTTGACAACTATAAGCTTGCCCCCTACTCCTTAATTGGTTTAATTTAAAACACTTTCTCATTCAAAACAAAAGTAAACCAGTATCTTGTAACATAAATCCTTTACAGAATAAGTTGAACGGACTTCAAAGAATATTAAAAAAGAGCACTAAAAACCTAGCTACAATCGCGGTTGATTTTCTGACATTTTTTTAAAGAGTTCCTTTGTTTGCTTTCGAAACTCTTCATCAGATTGCAAATCCGTCTAGGTATACATGACGGAGTTATGCCCGAACACTTAACAAACGTGACAAGAATGCTACAGTAACAAATATGTTCAGATGATAAACAAATTATTTAAAAATATAGGTACTCCAAACTCCTCTAGTTCTCATAACATATAATACTACTATGTACAAAAGGAAGGACCATTATATAATGGCGCCGATCAATACCGGATACGCTATCTCTCTCTGTAACCCGTCTCTTTTTTATTAAGGCTTTTTTGTATATGTTTATCTTTGTCTACCACAGCCTTTATAATGTCTGGTTCGTATAGATTTTCAGTTAGGAGTTTCTGAACTGGTATTTTCTAAAATGGTGTTTGTTCGCGAACCCTCTGATGGCAGCCATATTGTTTTAAGCTTTTTTTAATAGTCGACTGCAAGAAGAATGACGTTCTCTAATGGTGTTTTTTTTTTGTTTATACTATATGATATATAAAATTTTTTATTTATTAAAATTATAAAAGGCTAGCTGTCTTGTCACTGACTATACATAAAAAATCAATTATTGAAATATATGGGACTTGTAGCCGTCAGCCATACAGCAAAAAAAAAAGAACAGTGGCTCCGGGAGTGCCGACAGAAGTGCAAAACTTGAAATTTGTTTTTTTTTTATTATAACAGGTTTTTTGTTATTTTCGTTTCGTTTTCGTTTCAAATATACAGCGTTGTTGTACATATATACACAATATTTAGTTATATTAATTCAACTCACGTGTAAACAAGGCCAATTTATGTAGATACTTATATACAGAGGTGTCGGTAACGGTAACAGTGTCGCGAGTTTAATGGTTTTTTCCCATATCAAAATATTTAGTTTTGTTTATTGTTCAAAAATGCCCAAAGGGCCCGAAGAAGTTTTTACTATAAAAATTCTTCATAATAACTAATTATTTGTCAGGACACTAATGTTTTTTTTTATGTGTATGGGGCAAACAAACAGTAGGGTTACCTGATGGTAAGTGACAACCGCCGCTCATGGACACCTACAACTCAAGAAGTGGAAGAAGAAGAAGTGTGTTGAATTAGGGAGGACGGCCTCTGGTACCTTCACATATTTAGAGAAAAGCAATAAAATAATTGCTTAAACACCAATTTTCCATGAGGCCGTGCATGGCACTGCCACATATGTTTGTATTTTGAATGAAACGAAACGTTAGCATTTACACCAAATTTTGAGTGTATGGGGCAAAAAGCCAAGTTATAATACATATGTACTAGCAGCTGTGTGACATGGTTTCAATAAAAAATAATAAGTGTATTGTATTCAAAGTTTGTGTAACCTCGCTACATTGCAACGTACGGATATCATTGCTATTAAAAATTTGAAAAAAAGCGTTGGGTGCCTGTTGTCAATAGTAAAAAGCCCCCCACGCTTTTTTTCAACTTTATTTTCTATTTTTTAGTTTGGTTTTCTATAGAAAGCGTGTTTTTTAGTTTTTAAAACTAATTTTTTTTTTTTAATTACTGTAGTATATTCTGACCGTTTAAAGTCAGTCAAAATCACGCCCAAAGGAGTCGGTTACAAACAAACATACAAGTGAAGCTAATATAAAGCGTGTAAAAACAAATTGAAATTAATTAGTTATGTCTGGCATGTGGGTCTAGTAGATTGTGGGGATGAAATAAAATCACAATCATCTGTGATAAATTATAAATCATATAATCGAACCTGTGACTCATTTAAAAAACAACTGCGACTCATTGTTATTATTACGCTAGCGGCGTCGTAATCTCTGATAAAAAGAATTTTGATTGATTTGCAATTATCTTTGAACCATCTTATGCTCAAGTCACAGTTGAAAACGCTGTGAATAATAACAATCATTTCATCATTTGAATATGATTTAAAATTAGCAATAACTTCCATGTGTAGTGGTTAGTGATCCTGATAGCTAAGCCATAGGAGCAGGACAAATATTGTGTCCGTATATGTATACATGTACGTATGTGTTTGTATATTATAAGTGTTGTATAGTATAGGATCTTCTTAGTTTGGAATCAAGCGGCCGCGTGTGAGGTTCTTGGTAATTTTTTTTAAACGAGTGGATCCCATGTAGATTATACTTTTAGATAGTAAATGTTATAAGGATTGACTTAGACTATGAATTTGAAAAAAAAGATTTAAGGTATCACGCAACAAATATAAATCGCGACACAGCTTGTACTTAATATCTTGACTTTAATTACATATTCCATCTATAACAAATATATACATATATATGTTACAATTCTTTAAAACCAATTATCACATTGGTAGATTTTTATTCATAAAAAAAAACTTATATTAGAAAAAGCTTAAAGCAAGATATCAGACAAATCAGTACCACCAACTTACATGACAAGTAATTTCAAAATTAGAACTCATCTCATCTCAAAACTCATTTCATAAGTTTCGTCATTAAAAACTAACAAGAAAAATTGATTTCAGATGGCCAACTTCAAATTATTTACCCTCACACTGGGCGTGCTGTTAATAGGGGCGGTTTTTGGGGACGAATCGGGGGATGCCACCCCGGACAACGAGCCAATAACAGCGATCGGGGATAAAGGGAGACGACAAGATGTGCCAGAGGTTGTTTTACAGCTTAAATACGATGGTGGTGAACTGAATAAGATATATCTGACTCAGTTTCGGAAAAACGTGAAGACTTGGTCTCCTTCAGTGGTTGACAGAGTCAACCTGTGTGCGGACCTGTGCCACGCGGGTTATTATTTGGCTGAATAACATTGTGTCCTTTGCTTGAGTGTTGTTTACACCGCCATTTTGTTTTAATTTTTATTTTGTTTTTGTGTTGTGTGTTTTTTAATGTGGAATGAATTTATCAAAAATCAGGTGAGTTAAATTATTTTTGTATTTTTAAATGTTATGAGTAAAGTAATAAAGACAAAAAATAAATTTAGGCAGCTTTGTTTTTTACAAATATTTAGCTTTCTGAATATTAATTACCATTTAAAAACTAATGTGTAGTGCTACTATATTTGCTGTCTATAATTTTATTTTTGCCATGAAATGGACTACAATATGAATTAGGTTTCAGAACATTTTCCCGCGTATTATAAAACGTTTTTTTTATGACATGGCTTTGCACGGTATGTGCTTTTGGCATTAATTAAATTAGGAAAATATTATATTTAATGGAAAAATTATTGAAAAAATGGTGATGGTTCAAATGGGTAAAAGAGTACATGGATTAATAAAAATTAAATGTACATACATAAAAATCTAATAATATGCTAGTATCTTTACTAAATGAGTTGTGTCAACTTTTTTTTACGAGTATTATGGTAGGTATAGTTGACAAGCGCGCCATTTTTCTATGATGTATGATAAAGCCATTAACTCCTTACGTAAAAAAAAACATTTATTAACTTTAAATTAGTTTTATTTTTTGTTCAAATATAATTTGACCCTTCTATTTTGAAATCGTGTAGATGTCATTAATTTTTTTTTTTAAAATAGTCTAGTGTTTCTTGTATACATGTATGTGTAGGTTCATTTTAAACAATTATTTTTATTTTAGCAAAATAAACAAAACTAAATAACATGACTAAATGCGTGTCGGACTATCGTAATCATTATCCTAATAATGTATCGTCGTTATCGTAACCATTAGCCTTATTATCAACTTAATGCTACAGATTAACTAAACTACCTAAACTAAAAAATAGAAAATAAATTTTAATAAATTTGAAAAAAAGCGTTTAGTGCCTGTTGTCAATAGTATAACACTAAACAATAAATCCTTTTCTTAGATAATGCCTTAAGTTAGGTTTTAATGTTTTTTTTTAATTTAATACTCTTGTTCTGTTGTATCAAACAGCGACAAAAGGGTTTCTTGAAACTATTTTGAATTGACGGCTAATCTCTTTATTGAAAATCATTGGCCACCATGCGTAGTTCTTTTTTTTTAATATTAAAAAAAAGTCAATTATTTGTTTTTGGCGGTCATTTTTCTATGATTTTAAACGAGGGCTCACCTTCAAGAAGTCTCAAAATAATTTGCAAAGTGCATTTGGGGAGTCTGAGTTACTTTTGAATTTAAACGTGGTCAAGAGAACCTAAACGATGACCCCAGACTCAGCTGACCTACAACTGTAGAAACTCATAAAAATGTTTTGACGAAGTCCACTAAACCGTGTGGTGACGGATTAAGAATACAAATTGTCACCACCCCAATTCATCCCGTGGGTGTCGTAAGAGCCGACTAAGGGAGCAAACTAAGCAGGACAACAGCACTGCAAAGAGAAGGAAAACTTGAAACAAACCCTATACCAACCCGTCTGGCCAGCGTGGTATAGTAGGCCAAAACCTCTTTTCTAAGAAGAGGCCTATGTCCAGCAGTGGACTAGTATAGGCTGTTGATGAAGTCCACTAGAAGTAGTAATTCCGCCAGAAGATCGTAGAACAGTTACTAGTGAATGGTATTGCGAGTTTTTCTGCCTCAAGCTTTCGGGGAGTTGAATCGCGAGTGACCGAGGAGGTATTTCCTTGTGTTTTTCACCAATATGGGGTTCCCGCTCGTGCAAGCTGCTAGAATCATGGACTATTTAAATACTCTGGGTGAACAAATATTACCACCATAAACCCCAGATTTAGTTGCCTATTTTTTTTATTACGGTAAAAAAAATTGTTTTTTTGCCAATTGTTTTTAGACGTAGGTCAAGGAGAGGCCTATGTCCAGCAGTGGACTGTTATAGGCTGTTGATGACGGCACCCCCGGAATGCCACTGTGTTTTTTTTATCTTGCCGATTTGACGCAAGTCCTCCAATATTTTTTTGACACTAACTGCAAAGCCCATAAATTGAATTAATCCAATTCAATTTCGCTTCCAATAACGTCTTCAATTCATATTCATCGTTGTCGACTATGGTTACCAGCCGAACGCAAGGCTAATTCTGCAACTCACAATTTACGATTCAAACGATTGAACCCATAATGGACCGTGTTTATGCAAGTAGTGTTAGGCCTGTACACGCTATTAATGTTTCGTGTTGCGTAACGGTATTACCACGTAGGAACTGACATTCAAAAATTATACATATTTTCAGTTTATACTGCCATAATTTCTCAAAAACCACAACACTATCTAAAACAAATGACAGAATTTTAATCCACATGTCAATCCACATGAAATTAAATCTAACCCACCCTACCATCACCCACCCTAACACACACATTCCTACACACCACACATGTATATATATTGTCCTTTTATTTTTATTTTCTTTTCTTACTTCCTTCTCTTGTATGTATAATTAAAAATAAATATATATAAACAACAATCACATTTAAAGCACACCTGAACACATTACAGACGGATGGATGTCTCCCATAATACAGGGTGTTCCTAGCATGGGGTCATTGATCAATGATTTTGTGTGTATTCTGTTTCTTTTTATTTCTAAGTGTATCAATAAGGTGAAATACTATGTATGAACAAGGTTAAAAAAGATAAAAGGAAGAAAAGAAAAAAATACTGTGTACCTAACTAACCTAAGAAAATTATGTTGTATTAGAAAATTTGTACTTAATTTTGGTGTTATTAAATATTATTATTATTATATTATTATAATCAGAAAATGCTGGTTTTAAAAATCTCCAACTTCATAATTATATAAAAAATATTATATAAAAAAAATTAGCAATTTCCTATTTCTGTCCCAGGTCTTGGCGGGGAAGCGTGTGGGTCAACATGCTCTCAACTAATCCCAGTAGGGCTAAAGTCAGCACTGCAAGAGAGTCACAACACGGATTCAGCAATGTACGGACAGCCTAGATACTCCGTGTGCCCGGCGCTATGCAGCAATCATCTAGGTAACAACAGCTTTAGCAGTATTATTTTTGTGGTCTTTTTTCTCTCCTTCCTCCTTTTCTCCGGTCTTTCTTTGAAAGTGATTGAATCTACAGTGGCTGGTGATTGTAATAAATTGACACGAGCACTGCACTACTACATTAAACTGCTGAGAATACCGTAATTGTACACGCTACAGAATGCATATACATCTAAGACTTCCGAGATTCGAAACCGTAAGATTGAGAGTGTCGACATTTCATGAAATAGTTATCACCGATTATGGCAATATCCATATCGTGACGTCTTCACATTAAGAATACGAAGTGTCACCACCCCTATTCATCCCGTGGGTGTCGTAAGAACCGACTAAGGGAACAAACTAAGCAGGACAACAGCACTGCAAAGAGAAGTAAAACTTGACACAAACCCTATACCAACCCGTCTGGCCAGCGTGGTATAGTAGGCCAAAACCTCATTTTTAAGGAGAGGCTTATGTCCAGCAGTGGACTGTTAAAAGCTGTTGATGATGGCAATATGAGAGATCTACATTGAGAAGTTCTAGAAGCAGTTCTAGAGTTCTATAGAAAAACTTAAGTTCAGCACGCCTTTCAGATTTAGTTCTGCAAAATTGAATAAATTAAATCAGCAGTTCCATTTTACTTTAATAAAACTGTAGTATTGTATTTAGTTTATGGATAATGTATTTAGTTTATGGATTTGATGCTTTATATTTTTTTTTTTTGATATTTGCCTAGAATTATAATTACATTTACCCACGGTGGTAACATTTAAGGAAACACAAAATAAATAAACCATTCGAAATTTTACAAATAAATCTACAACTTGCTTTTTTGCTGACTCGTGACGCAATATCGTGGCGAAATATTTCACTATTTTAAGAATGGATAACAAATCTAAATGTAATTACAAAAAAAAAATTTGAAAAAAATGCGTTGGGTACCTGTTTTCAATAATAAAAAGCACCCCACGCTTTTTTTCAAATTTATTTTCTATTTTGTAGTTTGGTTTTCTATAGAAAGCGTGTTTTTTAGTAGAAACTAGAACTACTAATTTCGGTTTTACATCAGAATCCATGAACTGAACTAATTAATATTTTGCGATTGCGTTTAGCCTGAACGATCACTAAAAATAAAATACTTTCATCAGTTACCCTATAGCAATCCGCTGGTGGACAAAGACAGTGGCCTTCCGCATCTAGCCCATCCCAGCCATCTTCTTCAGTTCACTAATCGATCTAGCTACCTTGTCACTCTCTGTGCGCTAGTCTTCTACTACCTTCTATTTTCCGATCACGTTCGCCATTATAGGGCCCTTGTACTTCAACAGCCAATGGTCCTTTGATAGACGTGTCCAGCCCATTGTCATTATACCAAACTTATTGTTCGAGCTATGTCGGTATTTTTAGTCTTTTGCCAGAAACCTCATCACTAATTCTTAATATCCTAATCTTTTACACGAATAGATGCTCAGCAGCTGACCCATGAACGTCTTAGAAATAGCTTATCCAGTAATTATTTCCATAGGTGAGCCACTATGCAATTGCACTAAACCAGAGGTGGAGCACGGGATCGACTGGAGCGCTGTGTGCTCAGCATTCGGCGTCGAGGGATACACACTGAATGGTAAATAAACAAACTGCTGTCCACACAAACGTTAGAATTTTTTATCTTAGAATTAAAAATTACTCGATGGACTCGAAGAGTACCCATTGAAGCAGAAGCATTATAATGGGGAAGAGGCACGAGCTGTATGTCAGGATCATGGAAAATGGTATGCTATCGTCTTTGCCTACCCCATACGGGGTTGAGGCGTGAGTGAAAGGGATGAAGGCACATAAACGTTGCAAAATACTTTTCACCGAGTGAGTGAAATTACCGGAGCCGAAACCTCCTGATTCTGAAGGGAGGGGAGGGGCTAAAAGAATGACAAGACAGTTGTGACTCTTGAATTGCAGATGTCCATGAATGGTGGTAGTCACTTACCATCAGGTGACCCGTCTGCTCGTTTGCCCTCCTTTACCATAAAAAAAGAATGCTTGTCACGTTTATATACAGAGTGGTACAAGAAGGTTATTTTAAGAATTTTTGTAGTACAACTCGTAAATCTCTAGTTTAGAAAATTATGTGAGTTTTAAACGTAAAGTAACGAAATTGAATTTGAAATTTTACTGTTCGTATGAGAGAGGTCTAGTACAATTGAAATTATGGTTGTGTTAAACACACCCAATAATAACGTTATCTTGAAGAACCGTTTAAAAACTACGCAGAATAACAGCACTGCAGAGAGAAGGAAAACTTGACACAAACCCTATATCAACCCGTCTGGCCAGGCAAAAGGAGAGGCTTATGTCCAGCAGTGGACTATTAAAGTCTGATGATGTGTGTGATGTGAAGAACCGTATACAGTACTTTCTCATTAAAGTTTTGCATTAAATTTGATGATACTCTGTTTTAATTGGTCAATACTTCAATATCCAGAAAAAAAAATCCAGGCAATAAATTAACATTACCCTTTACCCCCTATAGGTTGTTCGGCGTATCCGAATACTGCCACGTCTGAGGCAACAACCGCATTGACTAGGGCCAATGTCCGTGGCCTGGCTAACTCTGAAGGTTGGGCAGCATGGTGCAACGTACAATGTCGACAGGGCCAAGGTGGAGCAGCCTGCAACTGCAGCCGATCCCCTTTCCAGTAACATTAATCAGTTTTACCCCTTTTAATGAGTTTTACCCTTTTAACGAATTTTACCCTTTTTAAATCTTAATATTTTATGCCTTCTATTTCACTGATTAGTAACGAATAGCCCTCAATACATATAATTTTAAAATTTAGAGCATAAATATGAAAAGTTTGTTTAATTATTTTTTTTACTATTTTTTTCACTTTATACATTTAAAGCTTAAAATATAAAATAAAATAATTATGTAGAAATGCAAGTAAATGTAAAAAATATGTTAATGATTACCTATATTATAGTTTAAATGTAATCAACGCATAAACTTATAAATGTAATCGAGATTAAATTTAACATTAGCATGTAAGAATATTATCAAACTGTATTATTATATTTTCAATGAATGTATTTGGCATTTAATCAAAATTATCTACTTTAAGATTATTAAATAATAAAATCATTAAATAAGAAATGAAAAATCTGTTGGCAAGACAATATCGACCGTAATTTAAAGGCACTTTGAGTTCTTTGTACCATTTATTTTGTGTATCTTAAATTTCATTTATTAAAATTTTATTTTTCATTTATTTTGCTTTTATTTTTTTACTTATACCGTTCATTTGAACCTACCAGTCAATTATTGATTTCGACTCCCTAAATTTTTCAATTTTAATAATTCGTGTTTATAAATAGTAATGAAAAAATGTAGTTTTATGTCGTGTAGTCAGTGTTGTGTAGATAAAAACTAGTTTCAATGAATTCTAGGTGTTAATGTAATTTTTACATATTTCTTCAAACCTGAAGTGAAAAACAAAGTATAAAATTTTTGCCTTAACTCTAGCACGTTATATTGTTACTAAAATTCCATACAATACAAATTAATATCTCAATAGAATTGAAACAAAGATGAAAACGTATGTCTGGAGATTTCTTTCTCACCTAAACATACTGGATTTACAAAATGGAACAGGTGGTCCGGAAGGGAATTATCAAATTTAAATCATAAAAAAACCTTACTTACCCTAATAATAAATTTCATAAAAAATACATATTTCGTATAAAATATTACATTAAAACATAATTAATACTTGTTAATTTAATAAAACACTATTTCGACTCATCAGTTTCTGTAACTCACTAAAATAGTTTATTTTAAAACACGATTTCAAGTTATTATAACTAACTCGGAGCACTAAATTGGTGGTGTCAACTTCATTACCAAGTCACGTGAATTATCCTCACACATACTACAGTAGTTAATATAGATTATATCTTTAAAACGCATAGACCCGGCATCTAAGACATTCGAAATCTTTGTTTTATCGTGGAAACACGTTTCGTCTGTTTACCAGTAGTTAACAATAAAGTGGTATGTTGGAAGTTCAGATTCGATCAATCGAAATTAAAATCTCTGTGATGGAACACACAACAAGTAAGTTAATTACAAAAGGAATCATAATTATAAATTTTGAACGTCAATTCTGTTGCAACAAAGCTGAAAATTGTTTTTGTCTCGGCGCTAATCTTAATTACAAACAGACGAACTCAAAAAAACACTTTTTGTATTGAGTTATGAAGGTTATAAGATATTTAACATTACGCTACGACCTTTAGGAGTGGGGCAGTGAGCATAAACGTGGGTGATACAGAGGAGAACGACTGGTGCGTTTTTATTTCAGTCAATAAGATAAAATGTGTTTACATACCGTACCCATTGTATTATTGACCGATGTACCGATTGACCAGCGACTAAAAGCCATGCAAGTAGGGAACACTTACAGCAAAGTTTGTGCTGGAATATGTTTTTTTGTCGTAACTATATCGTTTTTGTCTCTACTAGAGCTAAATTCTGTTATTAAATCGTCGAAACGATCCAATCAACATTGTGCTCGGTTTATTTGTCTTTTGTTATAATGAAAACTATTTATTTCGTGTTTGCACTTGTTAATTTCTGTTTATATCTTCACGCTATGGTTTTTTGTTTATGAAATATACCAATGAAGTTATGAATAAATTCCAATTCAATCACCAGCAGAGTTCAATCTCCAATACAGTGAAAAAAAACGGTTTTTGACTCACTCTTATTTGCAAAATATTTGTACATAATTTTATTTTGTTGTCGGCAAAACCAATAAATTAGAAACTACTATAATTATCATTATTACTACCATAAAACAATTATTTTAAAGTATATTAAAAATATATTTAATATAACATATTTATATGTGCACGCAATTTGTGAATTCTATGCGCGCAATGCGTGCATTTTTAATTGCATTATTAAAATTTAGTGTTAGTGTATAAATATTGTTTAATTTGTATAAAAATTGTTGAATATAATAATTATTTATTATTTTAATGATATGTAAATAATGTGTTATTTGTGAACACGTTTCAAATAATATTAAGAGTGTGCTTGTATTTTTATGAGTGTATTCGTATGAAAGAGATTATTGTATGTATGCGTTTAGAATATTCAACCAAGAAATATCACAACAAACAATATCACAAAAGTCTTCCATTAGTTAAGGATTAGCGTGTACAAATATTTAAATATAATATATATTTAAATTGTGTAATGATAGTTTAATATTATGTATAAAATAAGCTACAATTTAGCTAATTTATTATTATATCATTAAGTAAAAATATCTTTACAATAATTAGATAGTTTGAAACTTTTTCAATCAAGTTTAATTTTAAACAAATAACTCAAATTGGTGCATCCGTTTAAAAGATTCAAAGAATTGTCCTCATTTTTCAGTTGGGAGTTAAAAAGATCAATTCAATCTTAGAGGAATATTCATTTCCTTGTAACCAGTCTCTGCTTAATACTATACTAGCCAACAAAAAATAATTACAAACAGTAATAATGATTACTAATAATAATTTAATGGGATATTTCTTGTTATGTGTTCTAAATGACGTAATCGTCTTTTTATAATTCAAAATACTTAAAAGATAAAATTGAGTTTAATTATGAAAAGGCAGATAGGGGCATCATTCATTTTGTCACACGAATTTCATGGTTTTTTAACCCCTACCTTGTTACATATGTGAAACCATAGTGTGACGTCATATATTTTGCAATTTAACATTGAGAAATTATTAATTTAACATTACTTTTAGATAGATTTTTTTTAAATCAACATCAAACCGAGCTCTGGGATGTGACGTTATTTACGGGTGGCCCCTTATAATATTTTATTAATATTTATATACATATATACGGTACTCACATATGTATTCTGCTATCTACCAGGCTGAAGACAGAGTCCGATGCAGTACCAAAGAGTCCTCCACCTTCAGTAATTGAAGAACACGAATGGGATAGAAGGTATTACGAGAATACTCGACTAGTTTTGAATCCAATTTACCATGACTTTAGCAAGGGTGCAACTGTCTTCAATACCGACAAGCCGATTCTTTATAAACATGCCAGTTATTAAAAGAACCGGCCAAGTGCGAGTCTGACTCGCGCACGAAGGGTTCCGTACTATTATCTATAAAAACAACGTTTGTTGTATGGAAGCCCCCTTTAAATAATTATTTTATTCTGTTTAGTATTTTTTTCACTGAAATACATCATCTGTGCAAAATTTCAACTGTCTAACTATCACAATTTATGAGATAAAGCCTGGTGACATACGGTCAGACAGACAAACGGACGGACAGCGGAGTCTTTACCCTTTGGGTACGGAACCCTAAATAAGAGAGTAGTTGTCTCTATATAGTTGCTTTTAGTTTTTAAATATCAACAAATAGACATTCCGGGTAGAAAAAATCAGTTAACAGAATTATATTTAGTTAACTTTGTACAGTAAAATTAATAAACAAAAATCTCAAAATGCGTTCTTATTATCTTTCGTGGGACTAACATCACAAGGTTGATAATAAAACAATTCCTAATAAACGTAATGCCAAGAAGATTTCTTAGAACATGTAATAAAGATTATTGTGTACTTACATTAACCATGACTCGCGTTCCACTTTTAACGAGTAGATCTTTACTGCTGCACGATCCCATGATACTCTTTTGTAATCGTCTGAAAACCAAATGAAAAAATTGCAATTTCATTTCTTTTTTTTTCTTTTTTATGGAATGGGGCACAAGCGAGCAGACGGGTCATTCTTACTCTATACCCTTTTTTCTACTATAAAATATTTTGCAGAAACAGTATTATTTTGCTTAGAATTTGACGGGCCTGTTGGTGTAGTGGTTCGTGACCTTGACTGCTATCCCGGAGGTCGTGGATTCGATTCCCATCCAGGACAAATATTGTGTGATGAGCATGGTCATTTGTTCGGTGTCTGGTTGTAATTTATCTATAATATGTATCCATTTAAAAATATATAAGTATGTATATCAGAAGTCTGGTTACCATAGTACAGGCTTTGCCTAGTTTGGGACCAGACGGCCTTGTGTGAGATGTGTGAAATATATTATATTATTAATTATAATCTAAGATATTATTTTTATTTAACGCAATAGGAGTGAACGATGAAATATGCAAATAAAATCAAATATTACTTTTTTTATATCGTGTCGGAACCCCACGAGTCCTCGGTCCTCACCTCACTGGGGCTCATGATGATGTGGTGTGTCTAAATTGAACTAATAAAACCACAGAGTGAACCATACCTTAAGGAGGATAGCAAGGAATTGTCCGAGAATCTAAGCATTTATTTATCTAAATTACGACAAAATAACATAAAAGCGCGCTTTATGTACATTTAAATTGGAAAGTAACGCACAATAATAATTTTATTAAAATAAGTAACGTAATATAGAACTAGTAACTATACTTTTTAATAAAATTTTACTACCATTAATTCATAGACAATTTACCATCTTGTATTTATTTCAATAACATACGAAACACACTACAAATTTCAATAATAACATAAAATATTTAGTGATGATAAATTATTCTAGTGTCTAAGTATATATTATTATTGCATGCTAAAAATTATAATAACATGCAATAATTATAATAATAGTAATAAAGATTTTTTTATGA